AAAAGTATATATTATACAAAACAATAGCACAAAAAGATTTTTTTTTATTTAATTTATTTTACAAGATATTAACAATTAAATTTAAAAGCTCTTTTTAATTACAAAATAAATATCTAAGGATATAATTAATGGATTTTAAAAAAAAAATGTATCTCATTTTACGCGAAAATAATTGAAGTTTTTGATAAAATAATTATAATAAAACAAATGTTTAAAAAATTTAATTTTTATTGCAAAATTAAGTTGTAAAATGAAAAACAAAAATATTGTTAATGTCGTACCAAGTTCAAACAAAACCCATTTTAAAGTAAATTTTATTCTGAACAAAATGGCTTTTCAAAAAAATGGATCGCAATTTCATAAAAAGTTATAGCTTTTTTCGCGAAACGCGGCACGCTCCGCCACTCCACTCCGCTGATCGCTCAATCGCGCTGCATCAGTTGATTTGGAGGGAATTTAAAAACCTCAACTAAAGTTTCACAAAATAGCTGACATTATATTAAATAATAAATTTATAATTTTAGGTGAATAATATTATGAATAATTGGTTATTTATAATTTATTTACATAATTATTTGAGTTCAAACTTGAAACTAGAAGAATATATTTTATTTGTAACTATTTTATCAAAAACTTCAATTACTACCACGTAAAATGAGATACAATTTTTTAAAATCCATTTATTCTATCCTTAGATATTTATTTTTTAATTAAAAAGAGCTTTAAAATTTAATTGTTAATATCTTGTAAAATAAATTAAATAAAAAAAAATCATTTTGGGCTATTGTTTTGTATAATATATACTTTTCAAAAAACAGCAAAAAATTTAAAAATTATGATATCAAATTTTGTGTGTAAGCGCTATTAAAATGTTGACTCAATGACAAATTAAAATTGTTATTTCTATGTAATGATTGATAAATAGGATATGTATGGAAATTGTATAAAATTGTTTAAAGCAAGCTCAATGTTTTATTAATAAATAACTCATCTATAAATTTATCATAGTAAATTGGCTATTAAGAAGAAAAAAAATAAATTGGCTAATAAAAACTGTTAGAATTATTTTTTTTAATAAATAGTAAGAAAAACTTTACAGGTTACATTAAAATACGAGTAAGAAAACGTAATTTAAGCAACAGAAAAAAACTTAGATAATTTCAGATGGTTTGATGGGTGCTGATAAAAATTATCGTCGATAGTTTTAGATTTCATCCTATTTGCGGTAACTTGCTTTCAGTTTAAAAAAAAAGTAAAAAATAAGTAATAAAAACAAAGATATTTAATATTTTATCGCCACAGATAACGTGAACTATTTCTATTTTCAGCAAAAGTTTTATCTCCTTTTAAAATCAGAGTTTTAGCACTTAACTTTTTCCAGAAAACTCAATAAAAGAAATTAACTGCTTTAAAAAATGTGCAAGTTTAGAAATTAAACCATCCAACAATCAATGAACATTCATAATAAATAGCGTAAAATTAAAAAGTAACATTAAAAAATCTGCTCTACCCTTAATGTCAGAATTTGTTCACTTTTTTTCTTCTTTTTTTTCCCTTTGTATATATAAAACAGCAAACGATTGAGTAAAGAGAATCTTTTTAAGTAAGAAAGAAATATCCATGCGAATCTTTAAAAAAGTTATTGAATCAGATTAAATAAGTCTCCTACTGGTGGCTGAGTCAGCCAATCTGGTATACTTCCCATACAAGCTATCATCGAAGCTACCCTCCCTAAAATGCCCTCTTCTTGTTTTCATAGCATCAGACTGTCGCAGACTTTGCGTCGGTCAGAGTACCTATCGTAGACAAACAGTAAATACTTTTATATTTGTATAAATAAGAAATATACGAGAAAAAAATTTAATCTAAGGGCCCTCAAATTTGAATGGCCTATGGCCCCGCGTATGCTTAATCAGCCCCTGGCTGCACAATGGGCTATTGGCGACGGTCTGGGAACCATCACTGAGGATGATCCGAAGACATGCTATCACAATTTTGATCCTCTGCAGAGGGGGTGGCGTCCCCGCTTTGGTAGCCTGACGACTTGCATGCGAAGTCGAGCTCTTTAACGAGAACCAATACAGCACGCCCTTGGTCCCTACGCAGACTGATTCCAATGGTCACCCACCCGCACTCTGACCGCAGCCAGTGATGCTTGACTTCGGTGATCTGATGGGAACCGTGTTAACAAACAATTCACTGCGGGACCCGGCATTTAAGCCAGTGCAATTGTTGTGATTTATCTAGATATGACATCAACTTGAAGAAACCTAGCAATACTTGACGCATTGACTAAGAGCTATTTTTACTGCTTGTGATTCATGCACTTTCGATCACCTCGTAGATCTAGAATGAAAACCTGATTTGTAATCTGACGCCAATCACGAATCAGGTTTTCTTTTCTTTCTCTCGAGGAGATCAGAGGTGCGTAAATTGTATACAGTGTAAACAGTGCCTAAAAGCTAAATTATGTCTTTTATTCGAAACTTTTTTTTAACTGGGTTTAACAATCTTCATTAGGGCAGAAATATTAAGCTGAAATAGAACGAAAACAAACGCACGCATTTTTCGGTTTCTTTTTCTCCCGAAAGAACAAAGACTGTCATATTTTAACGGTGTCAAATTCGTTAAAATTTTGTATTTCAGTTGTGTTTTTTGTTTTCACTTTTCTAAACTAATAATGTTTAAAAACTATAAAAATGTTTATTCTTATACATGGACTATAGAAAATTTTTCTTTCTGTCATCATAGAACAGGCTCTAGTTTACATTGCTCTTTTATTGATAAAAATGTTAGCGAACGGTTATGGCGTTTAGATATATTTCCAAGAGGGTATAAGCAAGAAAGCTCAGCTTTCATTTCTTGTGTCTTACGAAATTTCAGTGATAGTATTGCAGATCTTGACGATTACGCCAATCTTGGTACGGATGTTGAATGCGGCTTCAAAATTGAAATTATTGGTGCAAGTGGAAAAAAGTTAAGAACTCACGAAGAAACGATTGCTCAACCTGTGTGGTTGTGCCGAAAATTTCTTGAGATACAAAGAGTTGTTCAAGAGGCAGAAAATAGTGAAAATGACACTTTGACTGTCCTATGTCATGTGTATGGAAATAATTCTGATAAACAGGCGAATGATAAGGATGCTTGGTGCTCCAAAATGCTTATTGATCGGCTACATTGTAGCTGGGAGAAAAACATAATAGTTGAAAAAATTCTTCAGGAAAATTTTGTTTTTCCGAAAAGTGCAGAATTTAAGGTAGTCCTCACTATGCTCGGCGATTTCCTTAAAATAAATATTATAAAAGTCAATTCAAAATCTTTCACGGATCATATTGTGGAGTGTAAATTGTCATTGCTTGCTTGTGATGTTTATGATGAAAGCAGAAAGGCAATAGATTATCTCTGTACACAAAAAGCGACACATTTCTTTAAATCTAAGCATTTTTCTAGACCAGAAACATGGGAATTTCCCTCTGATATAATTTCTTACAAGCTCAATGAGCATATTTCATCAGTTATTGGCTGCAAGACATCTTTTAGTTATAGACTTTTTTGTGAATTTTTGTGCTCAAATGGTTTGGAACAAGTGCTTCCTGTGACTGTAACAAATACTGATACTGTTGTTAAAAAGCATCCAACTTTAAAAGATGATTTACAACAGATGTTTTTAACTAAAAAGCATTGTGACATTAAGTTAAGAGTAGATAATCAAGTTATAGAAGCCCATAAAAATGTTTTGACTGCGCGATCACCAGTATTTTCTACTATGTTTGAACAGAACATGACAGAAGCTTGTACTGGTATTATTGACATTGTTGATATTGATGTAAAAACTATGTATCTACTCTTAGAGTTCTTGTACACCGATACTGTTAATGGACTGGATGTTGAACAGGCTAAATCATTGATACTTGCTGCTGAAAAGTATCAGGTTCTATCACTTAAAGAAAAGTGTGCTGATATATTATATTCTGAAATGTCTGTTGAAAATATGTGTGAAATTTTAGTATTGGCCGATACTGTTGCTGATGTAGAGCTAAAATCGGCTGCTATAGAGTTTATGGAGGCAAATGTAGACAAAGTTAAGACATATACAGATTGGGAATTATGGAAAGAAACTCACCCAAAATTAACAGCTGAAGTTCGTGCTAAATTTAAGGCAATCTTTTCCTCAACAAAAATGTCAGAATCTGTTGAGTTTATTAACAATTTAATAACATGAATGACTGCGAAGGAGTTAATAAGGGTGAGATTATACTTTTTAGAAAAATAACGAATTTAAAATAATATTTGCTGTTAACTGTTATTAATTATAAGTAATAACTAATGATATTTATTGTATACAGCAATTTCACTTACCAAATATGCTAAAATTCATAGAGTTATGACACGTAGTATAAAAGTTATGACATTCCATCCAGAAAAATATTTACAAAAAAAAAAAATGGTGCACCAGCAAATTAATATTGGTAAAATTGAATCAAGCTTTAAAAATTTTTTTGCGTAAATCTTTTACTTGAAGCAAGTGTCATTCTTTGTCTTGTATATTTAAATACTTGGATTTAAAATGTACTCTTTTCTTACTTCAAAATTGTCTATCAATTGACAGATTCTTATAAAAGATGATTCCTTATAGATGGTTAAAGAAGTAGAAATTAAGTCTGCTCAATATCGTAGATAATTTTTTTTCGCCTTGTTAAGTCATTCTCTTGTTTTTTCTTTTTTTTTTCCTTTCTTTAAATGCTTGAAGTGCAAATTTATATTATTTCATGTAGAATTTTCCTAATTTTTAAAAACTTTAACTGTTTTAAGTGGTTTATTGTATTTTAAATAGGGACTATTAAAATGATTTACCGCTTTTGGTTAAAAAGGACCAGAAAATTTGGAGATTCCTTAGGACCAGTGGCTTACAGCTTACAAAGTCTACCAGAATCACTGTGTATGTCATTGAATCTATTCTTATTTTAAAATAGGTAGAAAAACATTCACTTTTAAACTTATTATTAGTTAACTAATGTTTTTTTTTATCAGGAGATATAAAGATAACTTATCTAAAATTAATTATTGAATAACTACAAATATACTCTCTGTTTGTTTATTTTTATTCTACTAACATGTATTATTTTTCAGAGTTTGAATCTACTTTTATGTTTAAATGTTGTGACAATGACTTTTTTTTTTAAATCTAAAATTGTTTGTGTTAGGTCTTATGACTTTTATTCAATTATTAAAAAATTAGATCTTGGGATTTCCATAATGCATTCAGTTTTTTAATTGACGGATAACTTAGTTATTCTGTACTGTAAATCAAATTATATTAATTTGTGTTTGAAAATTGTAGACACATTTTTAAAAATATATTGAGATATTTTTTAGTTCAAAATGCGTGATTTTGAAAATTATAATAGCTTAAAATGTCTGTTTAAAAAAGCAATGTTAATTTTGAGTCCTTTCCTAGCTAAAACTTTAGATGTTTTAGGTTGATAACTGACAAAATTACAAAGATTTTTGATGAGAAAATTTTTTAAAACTTGTTACAGTTTAGATGAAAAAGTTGCTCCTGGGGACTTTTAAATGATTATTGACTGCATTTGGGCACATAATCTAGTATAAAAGTGCGGCAATATTGAATTTCTCTACTTGCAAACTAGACCAAAAATGTTTTAAATGAACCTGTTAAGTCACAGTCTGAAGAGGAAAAGAGCCACTGCTAAAAAACATAATGTGAAAACAAACCATTACAAATCTAATTACTTTTTATTGTTGTTTGCAATGCCTATCTCTATATTTATATATTAAATTTATTTTTTCCATTACAGATTGCATTTCTGCTTATCACCTGGAAAAAAGATGAATACACTAAAATATTTGCTTAACATGTGATGGATGATGTCATCCAAATTCAAAGATTAAATAGAATTTGTTTTGTGTCAGTACTTTTATGACGTTTACTACTGATGTATATACTACTGATGCGACTTTGGAACAAATTGATATAAATTGCACTCAACAATTCATCAAAATAAATAAAATTTCAAGAAATGGATACCAGTTGTGAGTTGCAAAATTGGAATCATCCTTTTTAAATGTTGCTTTTTAAAATTCCTTTTTGTTAACAAATTTTGAATCATAAAAAAAAGTGGTTATTTTCAGCAGATTGTTTCATTTTAAGTGCAATAATTATGTAGTATTACATTGTATTAATAAATCTCTTTCATGTAACTGTTGATGATATTTTGTGAATTATTAATTTTTTAATAATTTAATTGTAATTTGTCCATATGTTAGTTTCCCTTTTTGTGTTTTTTTCATTTTATAAAATCCTAAAAGAATGACAAAAATATAGTATTTTTCCTCTTGTTTTAGCTGGTCTTGTAGCTAAATATTCTGCTTTCATTGAAATGATATTTTTGTTTTACTGTATATCTCTGTATATAAGTCACATTTTTAAACCCCTAAAATTATACAAAAATCAGGGTGTTTACTTAAACACTAGTCATGCAATCAGACATTCCTTGATTGTTAAAATATCAAGGAAGATTGTAATGAATACTTTAAATAACATTTCAAAAAAAGAATAAAGAAAGTTGAGATAATTAAGTCGAGAGTTCTTTAAAAATCTATCACAATTCAAACTTTTAAAACATACCATAAAGATGCACATTTAAAGATTCCAGAACATCATCTGTGCCCAGGGCCGGATTAACCTATAGGCACGTGCCTAGAGCCTACAAAATTCAGGGGCCTACGAAAAACTTGGGAGCAAAAAATTTGTTGACAAAAATAATTTAGCTTTAGAAACAACAAGTGTATTTTGCACAAAATTATGAAGATACAAATAAAAATATAATATTTTTCGGTAATAAATTATTGATATCAACTGCAATATTGGCAGTATATCGGTATTGCAGATAAAGTTCGATAAACAAATTTGTAAATTAAAGTCCATATTAATAAAAATGTTTAAAAAAATATGCAAGAAAATTTTAGCATATATTTTGAAAAGAGGGGAGGAGTGGGAGAAGGAGGGGAGAGCCCAAAAACGGCTATGCCTAGGGCCTACGAAAGGTATAATCCGGCTCTGTCTGTGCCAAAGAATTCGTTAAAAATATAACACAATTCAAACTTTTAAAACACACCATAAAGATGCACATTTAAAGATTCCAGAACATCATCTGTGCCAAATAACACTAGCAGTGTTGCAATAGATCCTACTGCAATGGATTCTACTTTATCCTCATTTGAGTCTCACAGAAAATAATTTTCATCCATCCAAAGAAAAACGTAATCCTAATATGCATTTCAAATCAGTATTAATGTAATGATAGCATTGGCCATTGATTTTGAAAGGTAAAAGTAAAGAAGAAATTATATATTTTTTAATTAATATATAAAATAATTATTTTATTTCAAATGTTAGTATATATAAAGAACGGCATTTAAAGAATATTTTACATAACTTTCATCTAAATTAAAAATTCTGTCACTGAGAACTATTTTTTGAATAGCCTCTGGGTTAAACTTATTTATGAAACAAAAGAATTAACAAAAATTTGGTTTTTAATAGAGCCTGTGCAAAAAAACTAAATTTTGCTCAAATTCAGACCCTATATTACTTTTGAAAATAACTTGTAATAAAGGGGGAAATCTCTTTTATTCAATTACTAGTCAAATCTGTCTAGAAAAAAAATTATAAAATTTTATTTGAATCAGAGAATAGTTTTCCAAGAAATAACGTCCACCATTTTTTATTTATTTTTTGTTAAGTTTAGTGAAAATTTTTTTTTTATTTCTTTGCGCATTGCACTGGTTGTGCTCAACGAGAAGAGTTTTTAAAATCTCTCTTTCATAAAATTTTATTTTGAATGAAATAAAAACATAATTCTGTCTGTCTAGAAGAAGTTTTTGAATATCCCTTTTTTTTTTGAAGGTATCCTCTTGGTTCCTGTATTTATAGAACAAAAAGTTTTTAAAATATGTTATGATTTTTTTTTTTGGTTCTGCAAAAAATAAATACATTAATTAATTAATAGTAAAATTATGACCAAATATTACCTATTAATATAACTTGTAATAAAGAGGAAAATATCCTTTTAATCACTAGTCAATTCTGTCTACAAAAAATTTACAAAATTATAATTGAATCAGGGCCACTTTTTTTTCATTATCTTTATTTAGTTTTATGTTTTAAAGGTTTTAAGGTAACTCTATTTTTCAGTTTTTGCCCATGACTGGTTGAGACCAAAGGTAAGAGTTTTTAAAATCTCACTTTCATAGAGTTATATTTTGAATTTAACGAAAATTTCATTTAGTCTACAAGTTTTTGAATATCCCTCTCAAAAAAAGTATCTTTTTGGTGAGCACTATTTATAGAACAAAAATTTTTAACGTTTTGGTTCAGCTTGTGCAAAAAAAAAAAAAAAAAAAAAAAAAAAAAAAAGAAAAAAAGGCAAAATTGTGATTATATAATAATTTAAAAAATAACTTGTAATAAAAGGAGAAATATCCTTCATTCAATCAATAGTCAATTCTGTCTAGAAGCAATTAACAAATGTTAATATCAGTGCATTAGTTTCTACCAAATATTTTTTTAAGAAATTCTTTTTTGTTAAGTTCTACTTTTTTTTTTAAGGCTGGTCAAGCCCAAAAGGAAAGAGTTACTAAAAACTTTCTTTCATGGTGTTTCATTTTCAATTGAATGAAAACTTCATTCTCTCTAGAAGAAGTATGCGAAACTTCAATAAGATCAGTACAATAGATTTTAAGAAATCGTGCCCACTAAATTAAGTTGTTATAAGGAAATGTTTCATTTATTTATTTTTCTGCTCAACAGTTAGGAGCCTAGTTGACTAAAAACTTTGTAAACAAAATTCTTTATATATTATTATTTCAGCAGATTTTTTTTAAAAATAAATTTTTCTTTTTGAAATTAATACGAGTTATTTAACAAGATTTTGTGTCTTTTATTTCTTAAACGCTATTACTTCTATTTTTGTCAAGCATTACCCAGTTTGTGACGTACCCGCAGAGGATCTTGTACTACTGAAAGTATCTACTGAACTTGACCAGCTTTGAATAGGCTGTGTTTGCCAACAATTTCTTTATCCCAACACAATTACCTACTTTCTTGGCATTATAGTAAAATACGAAAAATAATATTTGTATAGAAAATGCAATTGGTCAATTTTTCGATTTTTAATTTTAAAAGTGGTCAAGTTATGAGCTTGTAAAAAACTAAAATTTTTATAAAGATTGACAGGCTTGCATTTAATAACATACACTACCCTACAACAATGAAGAGGCACTTTTAGTTTTTACACAAATACTCAATTTTGTTCGTACACTTTCCGCAAACTACCTTTTCACATATTTTACAGGTGTTATTACTCCTGTTTCTTTTACAAAATCCAATTTGGCAAGTATTGTGTTCTCCCGAAGTACTATGATGTGGTGGGTGATTATTTGTAATTTATTTTCCTCCTGAAAGTTTTTTGGTCTACTGAAATAGAAAATCCTTTCTGGATAATTTTGACCCAGTACACTCTGTGTATAAGATCCATGTGTTTATTACCGCTAAATCTAAAATGTTAAGAACACCTAGAGAGGTTATTATTGATGTGCTGTTTGCATGTTTACTCAAAATTTTCTTTAAATTACGACCGCATCAAATTGACGCATAGAGATAGGTATACAACAAAGATAATTTCAATATTTCAACGCTTTTGAAGAAAATAGACTTCGATATATATTTACCTCGATCAATGGATAAAAGTCATTACAAGAGATAAAATAAAAATAGAAACGGGTTTTTCAATTTTCCTTACAAAATCGAAATGTGCCAAAATTACGCGTCCCGTAAATTTAGTGTTAGAATAACTTTTTGAAGAAACCTTAAGATTTCTTTAAAATATTTAATATACATTATTTTGCGGTAGTTATAAATATACTCCCAAATAACTTCTCAAAATTTGGTTAGTGTTGAGACTTGAGAAAGCAGTCAGCGTAGTAAATTATCCTATTTTGAATTGCAGTGCATGTCAAGTTTTTTTTTTTGCGAATATTTATATTGTTTCGAAGTTTAAAAAAAAAAAAAAAAAATGCAAGATTTGAAGAAAATAGCACTCAGAGTCATCAAGTGAAATTAGTTGCCTGAATAAAATGAAATTATATCCTGATTAATTAAACTGGACGTAGAATAGAGATAAAGAAACTATAATAGTTTCGTCATCTGAAAAATAGTGTTACTCTTTAAAAAATCTTTTTTTCTTATCTGATTAATATTTTGATAGGGATGATTACTTAGTCCTTCGATCATTAACGACATAAAGTCTATTTTATTTGTAAACCAAAACGTAGCAAAAGGAACACGTTATCAAGTTTAAAAAATTTCTATTCTCTTTATCTTAAATTTTTTTATCTTATTCTCTTTGAATGACTGTCAATTCTAAAGGAAAAAAACAATAATAAACAAAGCTGCTTTACAAATTTCACAAAAAAAGAAGAAAAAAAAGTAGTGAGAGATGATGATTGCAGCACATTTCGATAATCTGTGCTAACCTTGACAGCTCTTGTATTTATATAAAGGTTGAAACAGTTCAAAGCATTATTTTGGTCAGTGAATTTTTTTGTGTTCGGTATTTTAGTAATGGCGTTTATGGAAATTTTTAGCGGACCTCTGTTTGCTACATTTTTAATTGGAGTATCCACTTTCCTCCTGGCTTTATGGTAAGTTGAAAATGCATTGGCAAAGAATCACGATATGTTATTCATTTTAATATTTTTCATGTCTCCATATAATAAAAAAATTATTAGCGTCGCCGCTACTCTGTCTAGTATTCACATTTTGTTTTGTTTAGCACGAACTATAAAACTTGAAATTATGAAGGTGGGCAGACAAAAATTAAATAAATGTTAATTTTTTTAAAATAAATTACATGTTTTTTTCTTCATAATTTATTCAAACCATGTTATTAGGAAAATAAATACATATCTATGATATTAAATTTTGCTATTTTTTTCTACTGTCATTTTACTAAAATTCGTAATTTTAAATAAATAGTGAATTTATACAAATAACGGTAATATTAAACAAATGATGGATTACAGTTTAAAAAATCTAAATGTAATTACATGTTTCTAAAACCTTTGCTAGTTACAAAAGAAAAAGTTCCACCTTTCGGTCAGAACATCTGTAACTTTTCTGCGGAACACCTTTTGGAAATTGCTGTACTGTACTACTACGTTTTAGTATCTGATGAGCAAAGCATGAATTGCCAAGAATGTAGAAGTCCAGCTCAGCTAATATATAGCTAACACTGGGAATAGTTCGGTGCGGTACTCTATTTCAGAAAAACAACTTACAGGGTGTGCAGCAGACTCAAATTTAGCCGAGCATCATATGTACTGTGATGGAGATCCAGGGAATGCGCATAAGAAATAAAGTGTCAGTCAGGAGGTATGTCACCTGTGAAGCAGTTGTCCGAGAACTTTACATGTATGGTTGCGCTCTTAGTCTCCCGTCAACCGCCCTTTTATTCTTTCTATGTCAAAATGTGTTATCAGATTTAATCAACATGGAAATGTATTCTTAAAGAAATATCTTAATTAATAGCACAGTGTTTATCAATAGTGTGAAATTACAGAACAAACCAACAATAAATAAAAAGATAGGTAGGTACTTACTTTATTTACGTATCACTAGAGCTGCATAATGGGCAATTGGCGACGGTCTGGGAAGCATCCCCGAGGATGATCCGAAGACATGCCATCGCAATTTTGATCCTCTGCAGAGGGGATGGAGGATGGATCCCTTGCTTTGGTAGTAAGACGACCTGCGCCCAGAAACTACATGAATGAGTAATTTCTCGCGCATATTTGAATTGCATTGACTTATAATCGCATCTGTGAATCTCATGCAGTTCAAGTACGAAGAGAATCAAAAAATTATAACACTTTACTCGCTCGGCTGCTGTGGCGACCATGGGTTATTCGCATTTTCAATATTAAAATGAATAAATGGCAACACCATTTATAAGCAATCTTGATCCTTTGCAGAGGGTATGGCTCTTCTGCTTTGGTGGCCCAGTTTAACGAGGATCGATACCGCGCAACCTCTGTCCCTATACAGGCTGATCAAAGTGGTCACCCACCCACTTACTGACCGGAGCCAGTGATGCTTGACTTCGGTGTTCAACTGGAAAGAAACCGTGTCTTTACGATCAGTCCACTGTGGGACATATAAACAAAAAGAAAACTTTTCTTTTTCACTCTAACTCCAGTAGTAGTTGGGAGGAGAGGAGGGTGCAAATCTGCTTCAAGAACCTCTGCTGTTGTCCCCCTAAATGCTGTTTTCTCCATTATATATAGGGACCGCATCCAACCTTGGAAGACTGGTTTATATTATGGCTTTGGAAACCAGACTTCTTTCCCGCATATATTCTTTGCATGGGGGCTGGCGAACGACGGAGGAAGGATGTATTCATTCTTATATACCTTTTTAGTATAATTGTATATCATTCCTTTTGTTGCAATCTTAGTTCAATGTTACTTGTAAATATGACTAATTGAAAACTACTTTCAATCATAATAATAAGCATGATTGCACGCAACCATGATTACTCTGATTCACTGTTTTACAGGTATTCCATGAAAAAGCAATCTTATTGGAAAGAGAGAAATGTGCCCTATGTCAAACCACTGCCATTCCTAGGATCTCTCTTGGACAATGTCACAATGGTAAGTATAAGATACTCCGACCCCCCAACTTAAATAAGGAATACGGAGGAAGATATTGAACGAAAATATATGTTCGACGCAAAACATCAGGATGGAAACGGATGATAATATAGATGTTAAGATCGTACACCAAATTAAAATTGAAAAAAAAAATTATTGGAGGATATATTTATATTATATTTTTAGGAAAACAAAAATGTTTATAGGAAAACAATAACTTTTTGACTTATATCAATTCTATGCTAATTAAAACAAAACCAATGTGAAAATTAATGTGGGAAAACTGGTTACTACCTTGTGATTTTTCAGTCAATAAAAATGTATTGACAACAATGATAAACTGCAACACCATCATTCGATTTTTATTAGAAGTATGAAACAGACAAGGAGTTCCGCAATACTTATTACCTAACGGCTTAACATTATACAGTTATATCACAAACTAATATAAAAGAAAGAAAAAATTTCGAATCACTCAGGAAAAGAACTAAAAACATAGACGATTTTAAAGGCATTTATTAGAAACACCACCAAGTTCCAGCAGTCAATGAAATTGGTGTTAATTTACATCATCTCGCTTTTCAAATTAGTGATAGATTACACAGAGGAACAGAATTTTTGTTGTATTTACAGAAATGCTTCGTCATGCCTGTTTCGGGTGAAAATCTATATTAATTTTGCTCCTAAAGCTACAGATTGTTTTTAAATGACATATTAAGTCTGTTTTTCGCCGAAATGTATAAGTTTATAAACGTTTTATATAAAAAGGGGTGCTTAAATGTTGCGACAAACATCTGGGAGAGTTACGGCACGTCTCAAACTGCACAGTAACCCGTGCCCGGAAATATCGTCGTATATCGCTAGGGATAACCTGTTCTGAAGCACACGGAGAGATAATCCATGATAGGAAACCCCCCTAGCGGCGTATAACGACACTTCCGGGGATGGCTTTATAAGCTATTTTAAATCTGATGATTTATATCATCTGTCCTTTCATGATGAATCCCAGATAATTCTTGGGGCAAAATGGTATTAATAGATCAAAATTATGGCTTTTATTCGGGTTAAAGGTACTTAAAATGGTGCTTTTTTATTTTCCTTGGCGAAAGAGCTTTGAAAAACAAGCTTGAAATAATTATAAATCTTAGAATGATGAAAGAACCTTTTATTTATGTAACTATTTATTAGTTTATTATGTAACCCTTTATTATGTATTCATTTATTACTTGTAGACTATGCAAGATCAGGACAGCAAAAGATATAATTCTTTGGGTCCGATTTATGGGTAAGTGACATTTTAAAAAATGTTTACTTACCTTCCATTAAAGGCCATTATTTGCTGTAAAATCTGCTCATAAAACTTTTTTTGAATGAAAAAGGATAAGTTAGGAAAAAATACGGAATCATCTTTTCTTGGAGTAGAGTTTTAAAAAGACAAAATACATTTTTTTCAAAAATGGGCCATTCATTTACGGTTAAGTATGTAATTGAAACGTAAACTAGCAATCAAAAATATGTATCCCTTCTCCCCCCCCAAACAAGCAGAAATATCCCGTTATTTTTTCTAAACCTGTTGCTTTTTGTTTTTCTATTCCTTAATTATTCTTATAGTTAAATAGATAGTAAAAAATAATAAGACTATATGAACCATACATTCTTATAATTTTAATAGAAATCATACGAACGCTTTATACGAAACATATTAAACTAAAATCAACTTTTTTTTTTGAAGTACGAAGTGTGTGTAATATTTGTGTTAATATTTGTATAATTACTGAAACCTGCACTCTACATACTTGTAAAATCATCATTAAAAGTGAAGCATCATAGACATCAATTATTTTACTACAAAATCATTTCACCGCTGCTATGGTAGAAATATTTAAAAACTATGCATTCAATGTCGCAAAATTCAACCCCCCCCCTTTAACCAGGTCACATCGAATTTGGTGTCTTTTCTAATCGACTTTTTTAAGGTCTAATACCTAACAAGCCTATTTTTAATTCCTTGTGACCAAACTTACATTTTCCAACTACCCCTATTTTAAACAATTTTATGTTGCAATGACAACGCCACCTACTATATTTTGTTTTAAAACGGACGTTGAACAGCCGACCCAATTTTGGATTTATGACTATTAAAGTTCCAGAAGACAAGAGAACTCCTGGATCCAGTATTGGGAGAAATTTTGCTCTCATGGAGGTTTTTTTGAAGGAACTAACCCGCGTTTACGTTACACGGAGAAGAAAACCTCTCACAATTAAGCTGACGGCAGTGGGACTCTAACCCATGATCCGTCTACCACTAAGGATATTTTTACGTCAAGTGCAATCTATATTTTAATTTATAACCGTCGTTGAACAGCTGACCCAATTTTTGGATTTACGATTACTACTGTTCTACTCCGTAGCTTTGTAATTTTGAACCCAATCTATAAGACAAGGAGCTCCTGAAATAAACCAATCACCATGAATAACATTTGATCTAATGATCGGATTTTCACGTTATAGGTCTCTATCTCAATGATTCGAAAGGGTGACCTCAAATACGCTAATTAATCAGTACAGACGATTTTTAAGTTAAATCTGATACTAAAACGTACTTTCTCTGAATAAACATACCCTTTTTCATCGGATTCGGATTTCTGACCCTGAAAATATAGGGGGCAGCCGCAACCTGGGAAATACGGTCTTGGTCAGACCTCCTTATGTTAATTTTACTTTTTGCGTATTTCACCGTTTTTCGATTACTTTTTTAGCGAGTCGAAAAATTTTTGCCCACAATTATAAAATTCTTTTATCTAAGGATAATTCCACTCAAAAGATTAGTAAATATTTATTATTTTATCTAAGAATACTCGGAAAAACTTTTAACATCATTTTAAAGTATGTAATTTTACATGGCAAAATAGAAAATTTGAGAGACATCTGTCGAATAGTTCCTGAGAAACTGAATTTTAAAAGAGTCATAGATTTAGTTTTTGAAATATGACCAAACACGCAAAAAGTATAATTGACACTAAGGGGTCCGAACTTTTTGATCGTTCTACTGACCAAACTGCGGGGGCCATATCGTGCAGATTCCGGCTACCCTCTACATATTAGGGTTTAGAAAGTCGAATCGGTCGAAAAAAATGAATGCTTATTCATAGAGAGTACGTTTTTGTGATTGATTTCCTAACTGAAAACATCGTCTGTACTAATTAATTAACATATTTGAGGTCATCTTCGAAACATTAAGATTGAGTCCTAGAACGTGAAGATCGGATCATTAGATTAAAAGTTATTCAGGGTGGTCCTTTTTCTTGGCCCACTATGCTACTGGAGTACCATTCATTTTTTTCGCAACCATATAATACAACAGCAGAAAATGAAAACCACCCTTTTTCATTGAATATTTCAAATTTATGTGCAGTAAATTATAAAAATTTTATTGATTTTAGTGTTTATGAAGTGAACAGTCCTACNATAATTACTGAAACCTGCACTCTACATACTTGTAAAATCATCATTAAAAGTGAAGCATCATAGACATCAATTATTTTACTACAAAATCATTTCACCGCTGCTTAGGTAACTGAATAAAGAAAGACTTCCTGAACGAATATTTTACTTAAATTATATTATTCGTTATTATCCTTCTTTTTGTTGAATATGATTATGTGTGGGTGATATTCAAGATGTTCAAAATGTATAAGACCAGTCAAACATCTTAAAAAACAGCTTCGACACGCATTAAGAAATATTAAAAAAATATGCATTCAATGTTGCAAAATTCGACCCTTGTTGCAAAATTCGACCCCTTTAACCAGGTTACATCGAATTCGGTGTCATTAGATAGACTTTTTTAAGGTCTAATACCTAACAAGCCCATTTTCATTCTTTGTAACCAAACACACATTTTCCAACTACCTCTATTTTAAACAATTTTATGCCATTTTTATGTTGCAATGACAGTGCCATCTATATTTTGTTTTAAAACCGACGTTGAACAGCCTACCCAATTTTGGATTTATGACTAATGTTCCAGAAGACAAGAGAACTCCTGGATTAAGTATTGTGAAAAACTGTGCCCTCTTGGAGGTTTTTTTGAAGGAACTAACCCGCGTTTACGTTACACGGAGAAGAAAACCTCTCACAATTAAGCTGACGGCAATGGGACTCTAACCCATGATCCGTCTACCACTAAGGATATTTTTACGTCAAGTGCAGCCTATATTTTATTTTATAACCGTCGTTGAACAGCTGACCCAATTTTCGGATTTACGATTACTAATGTTCAACTCCGTAGCTTTGTAATTTTGAACCCAATCCAGAAGACAAGGAGCTCCTGAAATAAACCGATCACCATGAATAACATTTGATTTAATGATCGGATTTTCACGTTATAGGTCTCTATCTCAATGATTCGAAAGGGTGACCTCAAATACGCTAATTAATCAGTACAGACGATTTTTAAGTTAAATCTGATACTAAAACGTACTTTCTCATCGGATTCGGATTTCTGACCCCGAAAATATAGGGGGCAGTCGCAACCTGGGAAATACGGTCTTGGTCAGACCTCCTTATGTTAATTTTACTTTTTGCGTATTTCACCGTTTTTCGATTACTTTTTTAGCGAGTCGAAAAATTTTTGCCCACAATTATAAAATTCTTTTATCTAAGGATAATTCCACTCAAAAGATTAGTAAATATTTATTATTTTATCTAAGAATACTCGGAAAAACTTTTAACATCATTTTAAAGTATGTAATTTTACATGGCAAAATAGAAAATTTGAGAGACATCTGTCGAATAGTTCCTGAGAAACTGAATTTTAAAAGAGTCATAGATTTAGTTTTTGAAATATGACCAAACACGCAAAAAGTATAATTGACACTAAGGGGTCCGAACTTTTTGATCGTTCTACTGACCAAACTGCGGGGGCCATATCGTGCAGATTCCGGCTACCCTCTACATATTAGGGTTTAGAAAGTCGAATCGGTCGAAAAAAATGAATGCTTATTCATAGAGAGTACGTTTTTGTGATTGATTTCCTAACTGAAAACATCGTCTGTACTAATTAATTAACATATTTGAGGTCATCTTCGAAACATTAAGATTGAGTCCTAGAACGTGAAGATCGGATCATTAGATTAAAAGTTATTCAGGGTGGTCCTTTTTCTTGGCCCACTATGCTACTGGAGTACCATTCATTTTTTTCGCAACCATATAATACAACAGCAGAAAATGAAAACCACCCTTTTTCATTGAATATTTCAAATTTATGTGCAGTAAATTATAAAAATTTTATTGATTTTAGTGTTTATGAAGTGAACAGTCCTACCCTGACAGTGGCGGATCCAAAACTTCTCAGAGACATACTTGTCAAAGATTTTGCTAATTTCCCGAACAGAAGAGTAAGAATTTTAACATTATTTTATATTGTAATAAAAAATACATCTAAATCATAGGCCTTTTGAGCCCAGCCTAAATTTATTATAATTTTATTTCTTTTTTTTTTTTGAAGCTCAAGTACCAAGATTTCTTATTCATAAAATAATTAAAATTTTTTAAATGGTTTATATTTAATCTCGAAAAACGATTTCGTGATTATCACCTTTATTGTTAATTTAAAATAATTTAATGATTTTTTTTAAAGTTATAAAATTTGTTTGCAGTAGTTTCAATGAATTAAAATTTCAATTATCTCACTAGTTTAAAACCGTACTTAGAGAAGTGTTAGGGACAATGTAAAAAAAAATGTACAACGATAAATATATTTTTTTTCTTAACATAGAATTTCCAATAAAAAATCATATGTCTGTCAAAAGTTATTTAATACGGTTCTAATTTATTTTTGTTTCACAAAATTTTGTATTGACATTTTACATGGAGCTTTCAACATGTTTTGAATTTGAAATTATTATTCTAAATATGTTTTAAGTATAAATTTCTGAGGAAAACTTGATAGATTATGAGTGTTATAATTTTTAAGTAGTTTTTGCTATGAGCTTCATTCAAAACAAAATATTTTTTCTTCCATTTTACTAATGAATATTTTTATTCTCGTTTGTCTTTATTCTTATTTTAAGTGTAGCGTATAATTTATTTCCGTATTTGAATAGAATTTGATTTAAAACATTTAATTAAACTAGGAATTGAAATGCAATACAGTGAGGATTAACTTCGCTTACATGATCTCGGATGGTATTTATTTAGTTTTCATAAAACTTAATCATAAATAATCATATCATAAGTCATCGTTAATTATGCTGGTAAAAGATTATTGTATCGGTATTCTCATTCATTGCAAATTATTATCGAGGTCAATCACGGTAAAGGCGACTTTAAATCCATTCAAATAAGTTTAATTTATTTGTCTAATCAATATGTATATGCGAAAAATAAAACTGAAAATTCTACAGAAATTTTTTTGTTTGTTTTTTTTTTAAAAAAAAAACAACTGTTTAAAAATAAACACAGATTTTTTTTCTATTTTTAATTGTTACCGCACGTTATTTCGAAAAAATCCCGTTTTTTTACAGTTTTTTTCCGTGTATTAGACGTACAAAGCAGTTTTTCAAAAAATAGTTTTTCTCCGTTATTCACTTTAATCATAAACGGATTCAAACTGTAAATTCAAATTCTAGTTTTTGCCATACAGTTTCACTTATTCATGTTTCAAACCAGTTTACGATTATCTTCTATACTTGCTTTTACTTTTAAGAAATTATTTTATGGTCTTGAACATTGTTTAAATAAAATTACGATTCGATTTCTTTCTCAAATTGATACTCTATCTGATTATTATCTGTCTTTGGAAATAACTTTCCAATAAGTTAAATGGCCAGACATTTTCATTTAGGGTGGGTCACTGTAATTTTGGGCGTTTTGAATCTTAATATAATACTTATGATAAGGACAGTTTAAGATTTTAATTCATAACAAAACACTAGAGCTACTGTCGCTCCAGGGACAGATGCGCTTGCGGCTCGCATTGACGTTACAATGCCGGCGTAATTATTTTATAGCTTTTTTTTTTTTAAAGTAATAGAGTAGTTTTTATTAAAAAAAATGATAGAGTTTGTTTGCTAAAATAACAGTGCGTATCTTTTTAAAAAACAGGTGACCGTTTTAAAATAACTTGTGTTTTTCTGTTAAATAAACGGTTTTATAAATGTGCTGGCAGTTTTGTTTCCCTGTAAATTTAACAGATTTTCTTACAGCCTGGAATAATAATAATAGGAGGGGGTACGAAGATGATAACCCTCTTTTATTTCCATTGATTGTACGATTTATATCTATTATTTTTGATATTAATAATTATTATGGAAAATTAAAAATATGCTATAAAATTTAAAGGTAATATTAAAAGGAAGCAAAAGTTAAATTAAACCAGATGAGACTTATGAAGTTAGGGAATCCCTATCATTCGAGCATCTTAGCTTTCCATTTACAGGGCCAGAGCTAATGATTTCAAATTATTAGCCAGTAAATTAACCAAATATCAAAAGTATTCGCCAATTTTTGAATGTCTTCGCCAAATTCAAATCTTAATAATTTTTTATATACATTTGTACTTTTCGGTGGAAAAAATCATGTGCCAAAGCTTTTGCCAAAACACAATTTTATTCGCCAAACATACGATTTTATAGCATTTAGCTAGTTGGCGAATACTTAGCACGGGCCCTGCATTTATTTGTACCCAAGTCCCCTAATACCTTAAACTATTCATTATGATGTATGTTTCAGTCCGTCATAGTTGGTGACAAAATTGATGACAATATGCTCCCAAGTCTAGAGGGTGAAGATTGGAAGAGAGTAAGGACCATTATCACTCCAACTTTCACAACTGGAAAACTTAAAAGGGTAAGTGATACCTGTCAGCCACATATTTTTCCTAAATGTCCTAATGTCTAAGCGTTCTTAAATGTCTAAGTTTAGTCAGAAAATTTTCCAAAATTGTCCAAGTTTGTGCGGTGTTGCTCTGTACCGGATTAGGTGGTGAGGTCTTCAAGTGACAAGAATTGCTTTCTAAACGCATATTCTTTAAAAAGAAATGTAACCAAGTTCATAATCAAAGCAAAAAAGTAATGAGTAAAAGTACAAGTATTTTTAAAAAAAGTAACGAGTAAAAGTAAAAAGTTCTTATTTTAAAAAGTAACGAGTAAAAAGTACAAGTATTAAACAAAAAAGTAACGATTTAAAAGTACATTTCTAGGAAATCAAAGTGTCCTAAAATTTAATTGAATAATATTCTTATGTTCTTTAATGTTTTTGCGAAATTGTTGTTATTTATTTAATTATTTTTAATTTTGAAAGTTATGGATATTAATTTATTTTTAAATTCGGAAGAATATTATAATATAATTTTATAATATAATCGTATAATATAATTTTAAAATCAAATATAATTTTAATATCAAACTTTTTATGGATTTGCACGAAAAAGAAATTTTATCTA